CATCGGATAGAGATGCCAGTGGAAATGGCTTCATTGAAGTGTCAGCCCTCATCCATCAATCAATCATCCGCGAGAAACAATAACACTGCAGCGATGGGGCAGCTTTTATGGGGCTTACTCATGGGTATCAGAAACAGCACTTAAGTGTAGTTCTGACACTGGGAGAAAAACAGAGGTGAGGTGTTCGGCTTATTCCACATGCAGGTATAGAGCAGATAGGGAGGGACTAAGTATACAGTGCAAACCCCCCAGGCATGGAGAGCTCTGGACGCAGGAGTTTTTAACAGCAGTGGGTTTCATTCTTCTGTATATCTGCTTCTCCTGATATTGATATTTTGGATTTATGGGACATTTAAGTTGATTTATTGAAATTGAAACAAGACTCACACTGTGTCTCAACACAGATTCCTCCATGCAGAGCGCTGTGTACACTTTGTACTTAAAGGAATAGTGTCTGAACCTTTCATCGCCAACGATGGGTTTTTTTCCGTACACTTGTCGAGGGCTAAGAACAGAGGATGTCGCACCTTGTTGAGACAAATTGTGATTTGTGAATATGGGCGATACAAATACAATTTGATTGATTGATTGATTGATTGATTGATTGATTGATTGATGGATTGACTGATTGAACGCTTGATGGTGATTGTTACTCTCCAAATATCTGGCGTCTCTTTTGCTCACTTGACTTGAAAATGTAATGAATTGGCTTTTTCATGAAACGTGGAAATAATGCTGCCATCGCCTCAGCCGACACGTTGTCCTTCCTCAGACGACATTTTCACAAGTTTGAAAATAGGCTAGTTATCACTCTCCTCCCCCAATGTAGCCAAGAATGCTACTGCTGAGGGTGTAGGCCCTTCATAGAGATAGATGATGCGTTTTCCTCCCTCATTCCAGAAATGAAGTCGAAAACAAACACAACAAATAATTACGACCAAACTTAAAAAGGCAAAGTAAGTGTGATAAGAATAACCTAAAATCTCTGAGACAGATTTATTTGATGTGTACTTTGTTGTTTGGTCCATGTCCCATCCGCAAGTATGGAAGAGGCATAATTTAAGACCCATATTGCAGCCCGCCACCAGGGGGCGATCAAGACAATGGCTTCACTTAAGGGGAGGCGTCCTCCATCTTTATTAAAAGTCTGTGCTCAGTTCAACATTTTGTAATCTCTGACCGTTTTCAGTGACTCGTCCAGGTACCCACAGTGCACTGCATCTTGTCACTACCAACACTGCCCCCTGCTGGTGTGCTAGATAAGATTCGTAGAACACTATTGTCGCCCGGAATTTAAGGTAAAAAGTTTTTCCGTGTAGTGAAGGTATATTTATATAGCTCATTTCAGCTAGTTGTTATTTATGTGCTTTCTCATTGTGGGAACTGTTTCTCTATAATTTCGATGTAAAGCCCTGAGATAATGAACATCGTGATTTGGTGCTTTACAAATAAAATTGAATTAAATGTTGTCTACTCTTTTATTTAAATGTTACTTCAGATCTTTCCTTTAAAAAAGTGTTTCAGTAAACGGGTGATGGATTCACTCTGATAGTAAAGCATCTGCTGTGGTATCACCTACAGGTCTATATTTAAAATACAAAGAGATGGAAGTTTTAAAGAAAGGATTTTAAAGCAGTAACATATGAAGTGATTCTAATCTCAGCAGGTAAAACCTTCCAGAGTTTGGGGGCCTGTGATCCTTCAGTCACCATCAGGCCCTGGAAACAACCAGCGAGGCCAAAGGGAGTGAGTGGATCCTTTACACACAGAGGTTGTGTTAACTATGAAAAGTCATCAACAAGGATTTAGAATCAATGTGGACATGAACAGGACGCTAATGCAGCGAGGCCACAGTGATAATTGTTGTACATTTTCTAAAACCTATAATAATCTTACCAGCAGCATTTTGGTGAAGGGAAGCCAGAGCAATAGAAATTATAGAAATCTAGATATAATAGAATCTACTGTAGAAGTCTAAAAGAAAATATATACCAGATATTTATACATATATATGTTTAAGGAAATAATTTTTAATGTATCACTAAATTAAAACCATGTTGCACCTCGCAAACTAGTAGTGTTGAAGTATTACAGCCATAATATATATGTTTATATATAATCAGCAAAATGTTAAATGGTACAACAGTCGCTTTTGCTGTACGTGAGCCTTTTGATTTCCCCAAACCAAGTCTCTTGATGGCTTCTCGGCAACATGAAACATGACACGTCATCCATTATTCTGTACATGTGCCTTGCTATCTCAGCCTGCTCCATATGGCCCCTGTTCTCTCCAGACACCCAAATCCCTTTCCTCGGGCCAGGGGCTGTTTTTGTGGGAACCATTACATCGCTCCTCTCCCTCAGAGGAATGGGGTGACGATGATGAGCAATCACAGCCAGAGCAGACTTTCTGCCTCAAATTCTGACAGGATACTCGACAATTGACCATGTCCGCTTTGTTGGCCCAATTGCTAATTCATGCAAGTTGACATTCTGGAGGCGACAATTATGAGTGATGAAAGGACTGAAAATAAGAGGAGGGAGCACTTAAGGGGAAGGAGGAAGCATCAAGTTTTAGTTTGTGAGCAAGGAGAGAGGTGGAAGATATTCACGCCAGAGGAAGAGGATTTCTGGACGCATCCTGAATAAATCCAACAACGTACTGTAACCTCTTCTAAAAACCAAACACACTGAGCAGGTGAATGGACATCAGTCCGAGCATGAAATGCTATTTGTGTGTTGAATTGTACACTAAAATGGCTCCTGTGAGTCCTAATGTGATAAAAGACACTTGATAAAGACCTCAGGACAGAAACACGTCCCACGTGAATTTATATGAAACTGAGCACAGTTGGAAATAAGGAAATAAGGTGTCTTAAGGAAAAGAAAAGCTAAAAGTTCTAAGTTTGATCAAATCTGCTTTCTCAACTTGTGAACGTATGAATCTATTACTTCCCCTCCATGATATTATTGGATAAATAACATTATTTTAGCCTTCCAGACAACGTGAAGGCCCAGAGACGATGATGATTCTGACAGTGAGAGGACGAACTGCAGTCTTCATTCTGCAAAGAATACAAACATAAGTAAAGGTACAAAACAAGAAAATGCACAAATTAGATTAGAGAGAAAAAAAAAACAAACAAAAATAAGAAGTAAACATCATGAAAGAAGAGTGTATCTGCGTTGGGAGCTTTTTGACGTGAAAACCCTCGCAGCGCTCTGGACACGGGGGATCGAGGGGGAACGGGACGCATGTCATAAGCTGTTGTCGACTTGCGTTCTCTGCCACGCGTTTGCACTAAGTTTGCCACAGAGTGGGGGGAATGTGAGGGTGATGCTAAGTGAAATGCTCATTTTGCGTTTGTGATTACCAAGGCCCATGGGCGATATGCACTAATGTGAGCTAATGCAATAGATTACACAGTGCTGGCCCAGGGGAACAGACAGCAAACAGATGTGGTCGACTCAAAAATGGGAGGAGGGACGGGGAAGAAAAAAAAAAAGAATCCAACTTTATAGTCTTCAATGTGCTGAAGATTGTCCCTCTCAGTTTATTGTTTACAGAATGCTTCAGCTGCGATAGGCTGCGTCAGACTTCTCCTTTTATAGAAATGAGGGAAGTCAACGTTGATGCTGCTGCTGCAGAAGCTTTTACCAAACTTCTCTGAGGAGCCTTTATTATTCCTCTTCAGGTCTCCGAGCTCGCTGAGTCACTGAGGTCCCACTGCTGCTGTTTGATCCAGTCAGGATGATGATGATGATGATGATGTCACAGCAGGTCAACACCTGAGTTACATCACCGATCAGGGTGTGGTCAGAAAAAGTCATTACTGAGCTGAACGAGATCAGCGCAGCAGCGTTTTTACGACATTGTGCCACATGAGGTGTATTTTTTTTTAAATTCTGTAATTGATTGAAATCTCGTTTATCTCTCACATGAGCTTCATTATTGTAATTTCACCCTGGACACGTGTATTTTTGACGAAGGCTCACTGCAGCACACAGTGAAGTTCTGCTGCTCAGACTGAACGTGTGAGGCCGTCATCTACACTTTGTCAATGCTGCTATCTAGTGGTCGACCTGAGTCATCGGAGGGGACAGGAAATATAAATATATTCCTTTGTGTCGCATCTACTCAGGTTTTTATCAATGATGCAATCTCAGTAATTAAAATATTGTTTATTTCATTCATGTTGCAATAAAGTTACTTTGAAGAGATGAACTTGTTGCTTTACACTGATGAATCTGAAATCTAGGGTTGTGAAAACTTCTCACTCCTGAATTTATTTTAAATCAGTGTTTCAGATCCACAGAGACGATTACTGGTTCCTCAGACTGGAACTTTTTAGGTTAGAATTATGTTTTTATGGCTTGTTCGGTGTAAATCTCAACACAGTACATCAGGAAACATTGTGCTTGTGAGTCCTCTATGTTTAAAAACAGTTTTAAAGTTGCCAAAGTTCAGAGTATGCAAAGACTACTCAACGGATTCCCATGAAACGAGGTGGAAGGATTTGGTTTTGGGTCAAGTCAAGTCATTAAGCTGCACATCCTGATCAAGGGTCAGATCCAGGAATTGTGAGATCGGATGTTTTCAACTATTTCATTGTTTTGTCAGAGAACAATTTATGGATCTCGGGGGAAAAGATCTCGTGAATTTAAATGTGGTGTCATAAGTTGACTTTTGGGCAATTCCAGTGACTCAATGTGATCTTCCTGGTTAAAATACAGAATGAATACATGAACTAAGAATTTTAAACATTTTCTTTGATAGACGTGAATACATGGATCTTGTTTTACGTGTGTTTTTGTGAACCTAATAGGGACATATTGGATTTGCAAGAGACAACTAAAAATGGCCAGTGTTTGACAACCCTGAAGGATTTCAGCTCCAGGTATGAGAGACGTGTCAGATGTCCAAATTAAAGTCACACAAAAAGAAAACCAGGGCACTAACTCACTGTGCTAAAGCTAAATAACACAGAAAACCACGGAGCTCTTCGCATGTCACTTTATTATTGAAATGTGTCATACAAATCTCAAACAATATTTTCATTTTTATATAAGTACACATGTAATGTGAATACCAAAACAAATAACTTAACCAAAGCCTTTCATTGTGGCAGAAATACTAAATAACACAACAGATAATAACCTGAGACTGTTTTGTTCACAGTGTTTACATTGAGCCAGCGTCACTGGTTTCATGTTTTTCCCAAATCCACAGTCACACATGTAAAAAAAAAAAGGCCTCGTTCGGCTCGAGCTGACGCTGTCCCTTGAAACAAAGCACCACTTTCCAGACGCCAAGGCAGCCCAAGAAAATACAGCACGACTATTTAACACACAAACAGAAATCCATGAGGTCTGGTTCATTTTGCAGCTCATACTTTGAGGCAACGCTAAAGCAGCTGAGAGACATTTGCCATTTCAAAAAAGGATAAACAATAACCTCAATACCTGTTCTGTGTTTTACACTGGGCTCATAAATATCAAGCGTATCGAAGGAGACCAGTTACTCGTGTGCCGTTGGTCGACATGGTCTCAGTAGTAGCTGCTCTTCGTTACCAGACAATCTCAGGTTTTACAAATACTGTGATGCGCGACAAATTCGTGTCCATCGAGTCAACAGACGAGACGCGGAGCTCCAGCTGATGTGACCGCGACAGCAGCTTAACAAGAACAACAGTGTGGGGAGCACAATGTGAGGTAGACCACTTCAGCAAACACAGACGGACTCGTTACTCTGGCCTGTTTGTAAACCACTGGGCCGAAGCCATCAAGTTATTCGACAGAAAATCCCCCACCCGCCAGTGCTTTGGGAAAGGAAACAAAAAACAGAATAGTGCTTAATTACTGCTTGGACGTCGACAGTTAGTAAACTGAGCAGCAATTCTTCACACAAATCTTTCTTCTTAGGTTTTTACTTAATACAATTTGCCATGCTGATAGCCTACAGATACACCAACGTTATCCCACATACGCATTTTACTGTTGTGTCATAGACACTTACAGGTATCTGGACTTTAGTGTGGGTCAAAAACATTTCAGAGAAAGAAAATATCACAGTGCACACCAGTGGAATAATAAGTTTAAAGAGAGATACTCTGCACGTTTTCGTTCAAAAAGAAAAAAAAAAGAAAAACTAAAACGCCCGAGCCCTGAAATGTCAACACAACATAAATGTCCTGCTATTGAAAAAATATTAAATTAAGGGGGTGGAGACACTTTCTGAGCACAGACGTCTCTTCTTAAATCTGTACATTGAACAAATTCTCTCCAAAATAAGGTAGCAGCACAGTTCAATCTAAAGAGAGACAGAAAGTTTTTCAATCATGACTTGATTCATTTACCTGGTTAAACTTTTCAAAGATCCCCAAAAATAGTTTCAACATATTCTTCAACCTTTTACCTTTGGAGCCACTTTAGGTACTTTTGTCAGAAGCCCCGTAGCGTTGATGAGGGAACGGGCCTGAGGGGTCTCGTCTCTGCAGGATGGGCAGAGTGGGTAAGTGTTGGTACAGCACCGTTCTGCCCCCTGAGAAAAAAACCTTTCAGTTAATTCTACAACCTGCTAGAACTTGCAGATCTGAAGAACCCTTGTCTCCAAACAGAGGTCTCAGACTGACTGAAGCTGCTGACCTAATACATACCTGCTCTCTGGTTGGCCAGTCCTCCGTGACTGGGGTTCGCTGGCGAGCTGTGATAGAGAGAGGCCAGTTCGTTGGGGGTGTAGGGGCGAAGGAGGTTCATCATGCTCCACTCAGTGTCCAAACCTCCTCCCATAGCGGACGCTGTGTTCTTCACAGGACCCAGCGTCTCCGTGGATGGAGCCATGGTTCTCACACCTCTCCCTGAGATGATCACCCTGCTGGATGCGTCCCCTAGTGGCGCTCTGAAGCCAGGCTTCTCGCCGATGTCCGCCTCCCTGCCGGTGGGTACCGAGTATTTCAGTCTCTTGTTGGAAGATTCACCAAAATCCATCTGGGGGAGGCTCCCAAATCGGCTGGAAAGGCACAGCCTGGCAGCTTCCGAGTGCCAAATGGCGTCACTCCGCGCCGGGTAACTCCTCTCCGCGATTCCCACTCTGTCCGGGGGGCCCGGTCGGTCCATCGCATGCTTGCTGCCTGCGGTGGGTTTCCTCATGTGCTCTGGAAACCTGGAGGATTCCTGACTGGGGTGTGAGTCAGAATTCTTTCTATAGCGCTGAGCCTCCTGGACAACATTGTTTAGGGGTGCGAGGACAGGGGGGGGCTTCAGACCTTGAGGTTGGTTAACAGGCGGCGTCTTCTCTTGTGGTTTTGCCGGTTGGCGGGGAGGAGATTTGGTTCGACGAGGGTGGCGCCTGTCAATCGGCGGAAGTGGGCCGACGTCTTTGCCATCGAGTGCGGGGGGGCAGCCTGTGTAACGCTTTTGTTTCACACTGCCTCCAAATCCACTCTTCTTTGCGCTGTCTGATTTGTCCTTATGACTCAGCCTTTTGTGCATAATCAGAACCTCGGGGTACATGGTTTTATACGCACAGAACGCACAGGTAATTGGATTTAATGCATTTCTGGTTTCTACACTAGCAGGGATGGAGAGAGACACTCTTAAGGACAGGTTCAATGGGGCCTCTGAGTTTTCATCTTTTATATCTTCTCTTTCCATCTTCATGTTGACAGGTAGAGGGACCTTTATGAGCACGTCATCACTCGGCGAGGAGGCAGACTTCGCAATTAATTTCTCGTACTCGTTCATCTGAGCGAGTGGTTTTCCAAGTTTGCTAACTACGCTCTCATATTTGTCCTCCGGTTTTGCTGCGGTGCTCGGAACCCAGAGTTTGGTTCGATTCCGGGCGGGACTCCTGCTGCCATTTCTGTGTTCTCCATCAGTGGGAGAGGGCACTGAAGGCACAGGTCTGCCGGTGATCTCCACGTCGGGTTTGTTCTTGTGACGACGTTCCAGGTGATACTTCAGTGACGTCTTCTGGGCTGCAGCGTAGTCACAGTAATTACACTTAAATGGTTTTTCACCTGAAACAAACAAATAAGCAAAGTTTAAATGAATCACAGGATTAGAAATACAGACACAATAAATTAAGTCTTATATTTATGCTTGAATCACTCAGGGCTAAATGTGTTGGATGTACCTGTGTGGGTCCTGAGGTGAACTGTGAGGTAATAGCTCGATCGGAATGATTTGCCACAGTAACTGCATTCTTTTGATTTGACTTTTGATCGATCAAACCCGTCTTCACCTTTGAAAACAGACAAACACACAAATGAATCCACAGAAAAGTAGAAACTAAAAATCACAGATGTGTTATCGTCCTTCAGCAGCAGAGGGAGCACTGGGTTCCAGAGCTTTTCTGCATGAATCAAAGAAATGTTTGAATTGATCACATTTATCACAAACCCAGGTTTTCTGTTAATGCTGCTTCCTCGGCGCCCTCCTCTGATCCTTCCTCTGCGTGCTCCAGTGAGCCCACTCGTGACAACTTCCCCTCCATGGAGGAAGTGGGGCTCTCCTCGCCGCCTCGCTCACGCTTGTGCACCCTGGAGTGAAGAACTAACTGGTGATACGTCCTGAAGGTCCTCTGACATTCCTCACAAGTGGTTGGCCTCTCTTTGTCCTTATCTTTTTGCATGAGAGACCTCCGCCGTGGCGCTGGGCTTTCTGCTACACTCTGCTGCTGAGACCGCAGCTCTCTCCCAAGGACCTCTTTCGCAGCCTTGTCTCCTTGGCCTTCAGACCAAATATTATTCAACTCCTCCTTATCAGAGTTGCAGTCCTCGTTGTCTGTGCTGGCTTCCTGGCCAATATCTTTAGTATTATTTGGACCCACTGCTATCTTGCCCTTTGTAGCAAGCTGCCAGGCCTGATAGGTGTTGAAGGGATCTAACTGCGGAATCCATTTTGATGATCGCTCATTTTGCAAACTATTTCCTGCAGAATGAGGCCGAAGGTTCAGACTGCGAAGAAACGTTTCCTGTGTGGTGAGGGATTCAGTTGTGGCATCCACGTTTTCCTTGTCTTTATCTTTGCCATGCTCCACCTCTCTATTATGTACTTTACTATGTTCAACCAAACTGTCATGGTCGGGGAAGAAAAACCCACAAACCATGCACATTTTGTAAACAGTGACTACCTGCTCTGAAGCAGGGTCTTGGACTACGTCATTGACTGTAGCCGGGGTCTCCAGGTCCTGCTGGGCCTTGCTCTTTGCTCCGGGTTTAGCATGCATCTTCATGTGGTTCTTAAGAAACCACGGCTCTCGAAAACGCCGCCCACAGACATTACAACAGTAAGTGAAGTAGTCCTTGTGCTTCCTCATGTGAGCCTCTAGCTCGCTGGCATCTTGTGACACCTGGCCACAGACGATACAGCTGTGGACCTCCTCTTTTTCATTAGGGAGGCTGCTTGGTTTGGGTCGGCCTCTCTCTCCTGGGATCCTGAATTCAGCTTCAACTCGGAGCACAGTGGGCTCAGAGAAAGTGGTGGGGTGCTGGGTTAATACGTGGGGTCCGAGCTCATCCTGATGAGTGAAAGTATCATCACAGAACATACAAGACAGCGACGAGCTTCCTGCAAAATGAAACGCTGCCTTTTCTGAGCTGATGGTGTGCGGTGTCATGCTGGAGCCAGGGATGCTTGCATTGTTACCAATCAGAATATCTTGGGCAAGTCCATCTGGGCTCTCCATTAACGGCAGCAGCAAGTGAGTCGGCATTGTTCAGTGAAGGCGGAGCAACAAAGCTCTATACGTTGTCCAGACTTTTAGGAACCTGGAAAATATGGAAAAACATTTTTTAGGCTTTGCTCAGTGTGAAACTACAATCAGGTAGCTACTACCTGACTGGAGATAAAAATCTGTTAATAATACAGCACAAAGAACTTCCCTTATGCTGAAACAGGAAATGTGTCTTTTTTAGCAATCAACTGCACAGACAAGTCATTTCCTCTAAATGCAGATCACTGATAAAATGCATAAAACATTATTTTTCCTGCTCACAAGCATTATTTCTCTTTTTTCTTAGTATGTACATGTGTGAGCCGTCGCCAACAGCTGTGCTACTTCAACAAGCAGACCGCTTTAATATAAATGTTAAACGTTAATACTGCTGTTCCTCTACATATTTAAGAGTAGATGGTGATAGTTAGCACTGAATGCAATATACTGCAGTTGGATTAACAAATACTGCAATCCACGACATAAAACCATGTATACAATATCTAGCTTTATCTAGTTTATTCTAAACTTTAAAATGGATTTGGTTTGGGTGCCATTTGAAAGTATTCAACAACAACTAGACATCTGTCAACTGAAAACTTGTTTTACTATCTCACGGTCCCCAGCTGCCCTGTTGACTCACACATTGCACATTAACCTGGTATGCTTCAGGTGTATGATCTTGCTTTACTTTTGTCTTGTGACCGGTGGCACTACCTCCAGTTTCAGCAGGTATAATGAACTAATATTGACATAATCAACACATGCCCACACATTACACAACAGATTCAGTTACAAAGAAACAAATCACTCAAGTTCAGGACTAAGAGACATTAATCAGTGACATTAACGGTTGATTGAATCATCATTTTAACTCTATTTATTGTTTGTTTATTACTTTTACAGTTATCAGCTGCACTTGCCCCCTGTCGATTGCTCTCTGGATGCTTTTGCGATATATATGTGTAAAATATGCACGTTCTTCACATGTAAATTAAGGTATTTACATCAAATTATACAGTTTAAATTGTATTACTTGACTCACGGGTGGAGAAACTGGACTAGCAAGTTCATCACAATGCCAAAGTGTTGACTGTGACACCAACACAGAGTGGAGCCGCCTATTATAACTGCTTTAATTCATTAAAAACTCAAAATGCATTTAGTTTGTCCAGTCTGGGCTACTGTTACACCTAAAGTATTTAAATATAATGGGCTCATTCTAGAGTAAAGCAAACAACAATTCATTCAAATTAGATGAGACACACTCGTCACACTCACCAGGATTGTTTCATATTCAATGGACCTTTAAAAATCATGAGTGTACTTTTTATTGGTTCCCTCTTTGGTAAAGGGACGGTTCACCCAAAAATAAAAAGTCACTCATTATATCAGTTTTTAAGGCCACAAAAAAAAAAAAACGTTTGGAGTTTCAGTTGTAAACAGTCGAATGGAAATGAAATAAATGGTGACCGATGCATCAAATATAATAAAACAACAGAAAATACATGCCTCCATTCTGCTCCTGTGGTGCCCCCCCCCCCCATCTGCTTAGTGGAGAGTGGATAACGAGTGAAAGAATTTTCATTTTGGGGTGAACCATCCCTTTTAACCCACATCTTTATAAAAACCTAAATCTTATAACACGTGACGTCAGTGAATCTTTAATTGATCCTGTCCTCATTCTCATAATTGATTTTTACTCTGGTCGAGAGAACTCCACGTTGTTCGTCGTGTTGAAAAGTTTATTATAATAAGATCGGTGGTTTTTCTAACACTGGACGTTTGTTTTCACTTTTTGTTTGTTAATTTCAGTCGCTGTGATTCTTTAATCCAGGATTCTACCATCAGCAACCATAGACATGTATTTATTCATTCATATCTCTGTGTATCGAGGAGCCACCTTGTTATTCAACGCTCGTTTGACCCATTAGCTCAATTTATTCCGACACTTTCCTCTGAACTTCCATCGAGCAGCAGCTATTACGCGTCTATGTGCGCTTCATACGCACACGCTGACTCCAATCAATAGAAATCACGCAAATCTCAAAACTTTTTACGTTACGTTAACTTTACTCGTAATTATCATGACAACACACAGCGTGGACCCTGTGTGTGTGTGTGTGTGTGTGTGTGATTCCACTGATGCCCGTTTATAAGAGGAGTTGACAACATGCTAACGTTAGCGAAGTTAAGTTAACGAAACAACCGTCGCTTTGTTTGCGTGTCTGTCTGTTTGTTTGTTTGTTTGTTTGTTTGTTTGTTCCTGCGGTGAAATGTTAGAAACTCACCAAACAAACACACCGCCGCAGTTTCCGGGATCGATGCGCGAGAGAGACGCGGAGCTCCTCCGCCGCCGCCGCTGCTAACACCGATGCTAACACCGATGCTAACGCCGCTGATCACTCACCTTGTACCGGATCATTTTTTTTTGTTCGGACTCTTTTCCTCCGTGCAGCTGTTGAATCCGGCCGTGCGCGCCCCCGCCCACTCACACAACCACCAACGAATGGGGCGCGTGCACGTGCAGCAGTTACTAACCCTCCCTTCCCCAAAAAAAAAAAAAAAAAAAAAAAAAAGTCACGTGGTCGCGTGGAACAGGAAAGAGAGAGAGAGGAAAGAAAAAAAAAAAAAGAAGTGCACGTTAATCTTAATTAATTAATCAATCAATAAATAACAGCGAGCACGCGCCTGTATGTGTGTGTGTGTGTGGTTGTTTTACTCCTAAACAAAACGTGTTAGTGTATCTGAACTTGTCACACACACACACACACTGTAGTTCACTGACCTGTACACACTCACTGTGTGTAGTTCGAGGCCTCGGGCTACACAACAGCTCTGTTTCATATGTAATGCTGCAGCACCTTCAAAGTGAGGCCCTCTCTTCTTCTTCTTCTTCTTCTTCTTCTTCTTCTTCTCCTCCTTCCTCTTCCTCTCCTCCTGCTCTCACTTCATGCATCAGCTACCATGTGGAGGTGGGGGAGGGGGAGACTCAAACTTTTCACAGATACATGAGGGTTTTTTTTTTTTTTTTTTTTTTGCAGAAGCTGAGAGGCCGGGTTGAGTCATGAGGACATTTTCAGGTTATTCCTACAGCTTCCATGAAACTTGAATAGAAACAAGCTCCGGTAGATTATTTAGAATTCACACTTCACCTCAACACACAGCTGACGAGCCTGAATACTTTACGGTGGTGTATTTAAATACGAGGGGGAATAGCCCTGTATTCAAGAGAAAGTACACGTAAAACTTTATTATGATAATACCAAATATAACAATTCACTGACTCTGTGAAGTCAGCGCCCGCTCGTGAAAGCACACAAATAATGCAGTGATTCCGTGAGATAGAGATCCACCACCTACAGCAGCTTCCACAGGCCTGTGTGTAATTAAACAACTGCCCCTCCTCCACCCTCACAACCCTGCACACAGACGTCAGGCAGGGACGGCAGCAGAAAGCCCTGCACGCTTCAGTCAATGCAGATATTCAGTCCACTCCAGTGTTCGCTGACACACACACACACACACACACACACACACACACATTACGTCCCTCTGAATGGCAGCAATGTCTGGAAGAAAGAAAAAAACTTTATCAGTAACCACTCCCAGAGAAGGAACAGTGAACAAAGACTGGTTTGCCAACACCATCCCTCACAGTAGACTCTATAGTCCCCCCCCCCCTCCCACCTCCTCTCAGTATTAGCTGCTTTGTGGTGTTATTAAAATGTGTGTTTGCTTTTATAAATATACGTTTGTTTATTTTTCTTTAACTCATAAATCCTCGTTCGTTACCAAACAGGTCGGACAGATTCGCTGCTTTGGGACGAGGACGTGAGTAGATGTGCAGGTTTGGCAGACAGAGGGTTAGTGCATGTGATCACTGCTCCTGTGCCAGAAACTCTAATAAAAGGATCATGTGTCCGTCACATAATGGACATGAGAGATAATATTGGAGTTATTATAAAAACACATTTTCACTGTTTGTTTTTTCTGCTTGATTTTTAGTTAGCAAGTTTTTTTTAAATGTGTAAACACAGTTTGTAAATGTCCTCTGTATATAGTTATTTTCTGATACTGCGACTATTGCTGCTGTTGTTGTTTTATACATATTTCTTTATATTTTTACGTCTTTGAATTCTGTGAAACTGGGTCAGAGAAGAATCCATTTCATTAAGTTGTGGATCCAGATCCGGGGGCGGACACAGGATTCTTTTCTCTTTTTCTTTAACTTAGGGGGTTTTTCACCACCATGATTCAGGAGAGAATAATTCACGGAGCTTGATGGAACAAAAACAGACATATTACAGTGAATACTTAAGGTGCAGATCCAAATAAAAACTGGGATCTGGTGAATTTAAATGAATTCTTTTAATTGTTTTAATAAAATCCATGTTGTGTTGTATTTATTTGTTGGTTGTGAATATCTCTTGTTCTCAGGTCTGTCTTTAAAAATGTATATGAGACTTCCTGGTTAAATAAAAGTTAGATTAAATTAAATTAAATAGTAGATTTGGTATCATAAGGGGAAATGATATGTGCTCTCTGGGTGACAGTTTATTTAATGCTCAATCAGTTGGGTCTTTACCTACAAAACGAAACCAGTTGACTCAATCCTCTCCTTGTGCTGCTTTAAATGAAAACATTGTTTTCCTCTGTGATTCAGTTTTTTTTTTTTTGCTCTTCTCTCTCTTCACCCTGAGATCCTGTAACACAAACAAGTGGAGTATGTTAATCAAAAGCACCACGTGTGACACATCGAGGCCTCCCGCTCATTTCCCATTGTTCTGTGGCCACAAAGGCTCAGTGAAGGGCTATCAATCTGCAGCGGCAGTATGATGAAACTGCCAAGAGACGTCGAGCCAATCATAAAAAGAAAAAAAATCCCTTTTCACGCGGCGGTGTTTGGCAGCTTGTGTGTGTTTCTTTAACTCGATGATGATGCCGTTGCAGGTATTTAATGACCGTCCATCATGTGCAGAGGAACGGGCGACAGCAACAAGTGGGCAAACCATTGTTTTCTTCCAACTGATTTAATTAACTTTGTCCTGTTGCGGGACTTTATGCAAATTTAATTTCTCTCACAAAATCCTCCAAACTCATTGTCTCAGATTGTTTCCTCACAAAACAAATCCTACATGTGTGTACTCAGCACTAACCAGGAGATTAAGTTGTGTGTGTGGTTTTTTTTTTTTGAGTAGTTATGTATTCAGTGGACAGGCGCTGTGATAGGAGCTGGATCAACGGACGGGGAAAGGGCTGCGGTGGCTTGTTTTTGTCTTGACGTGTCAGGAGCAGCTGACTGCATTGTTCCCCCTCCAGATTCACAGCCTGGCGTCTTTCACAATCCTGGTGTCGCTCCTGAAAGATAATCTCCTCTCTCACCCTGAGCCGGTAATGTTTATTCAGTGCAACCAGCTGTTGTGTTGCGGATCATCACAGAAATCTTGTGCTTCTTCTGAGGAGAAATTGAGAAAAGGAAGAGTCCCTTTGTTCTGGTGTGAGGTTCATGCTGTCACTTTAACCTTCTTTGACTTATGGACTTTTTTTTCTCCACACTTTGCTTTTCAGTGACGGACACAGACAATTAATGTGCACATGGAAAACCAAAGATATTACTATTACAAGTACTATCAAATAATACGACAAATAAACAAATGTTTGAATCAACAAGTAGAACAGAATATTTTCATATTATTCAGATTGACCCATAAAGATAAAGACAAAGGATATAGCACAACTATATTTATGTTAAATACCGACAGTGATTCTCAAGATTTCATGATCAAACTCTAATTAGTTGATAATTGAATAACTATTAATAAAAAGAAAACAATATTATAGAACTTGAATAAAGTAACTAACTTAACTTTACTTACTGCATCGTTCAGTCAAAAATAAAATTCCAGTTTTCATACTGGATAACATAAACCAATAAATGAGTCAGACTCTGATATTATGATTCTTTTACAGAACAATAAAGTAAATTTTTTATATTTAACTTTGTTTTCTATTTCTGTATTTTTAATATTTATAGCAAAGTCCTTGTATGTGCAAACCTGCTTGGCAATAGAAATGTTTAATCTGAGTGTTTACCTCGTTTAATAATATAAATTACAATGGGATTAATAAAGTCAATCCCACAGAGTCCATCTTTCAGGTCATGTTAAAACACAATCCTATCACTAATTTGAATATCAAGCAAATATCTGGGTAACATCCAACGTGTCAGTATTCTGAATAAACTCACTAATAGCTGAAGTCATTACGTAAACTCCCTTTAAACATCGACAGAGATCACCTGCGGTGGAATTCCTGCCCAACATGTAAACATGCGTGTTTGCCTGTTCTCCCTTAATCACAGCGAATGAAACCGTCTTTTAGAGGCTTAAGTCCGCTTCAATTTGTGATCTGGTAGCAGAACGGACCTGTTACTGCAGAGCAGTGCCGTGATGCACATTAGTCCTGACAGCAGGCCTCCTGTCGGGCCTCCCTGCACACTGTCCCTCCCCACCCCCCCACCCCGCTCAGAGCCCTGGGCATTCACACAGTTTCATGCATTGTCCTGGGATGGACTGCAGCAGCATGGCGGTGGAGCAGAGCAGCTCTCGTGCAGTGTGCTCAGTCTGCAGGGTTTAATCCATACCTACAACTGTGTCCTATTTTATAAGAGCCTCAGTTCATTATTGTCAGAGTGCAAAGAGAGAGAGGGAGAGAGGACCGACCAGACCTCATGAAATCGAACTGCTTTCATCGTTTACGTAGAGAAAAGTCTTCAGATGCAGCTGTTGACCTCGTCTGCACCTTCGAATAATAAATACGAAAGTGGAGACGTCAGGAAGTGATTGTGAGGTTCTATAATCTCAATATGATACAGACGAGTATTTGTTGTTAGTTTGTTGAGCACACGCTGTTCACAGGATATCAGTGATTTGACATTGATATCGATATTTTTGTCTCATTAGAACTCTCGTCCTCTTCCCCGAGCTGTGCACTTCATGTTCGGTAAAGAACACGTGCTCTTCTCTCCTCATACTAGAAATACCCACTGCGTCTTCATTTGAAACAATCCTCAGGGGGACAAAGACCGACGTCGTCCCACACGAACCGTGCAACCGCCTTCAACTTCAGTGCCACAGCCATTTCTTTGATCACCCCTACCGAAGAGAGAAATACGAGCCGATGACGTCTCGTTGACGACAAAGGAGCAGTGTGAGTTTTTCCCCCCCGGGGGCTGCGACTCATCACTTAATGGGGGGTGAGCGGTGGGTCTCAGACGTTGGTTTCTGACACGCATCCTTCCAAAGACGACACTCTGGGTCGTCAATCACAGAAATCACATCATAAAAGTTCAAATACGATTTGAGGTCTGGCTTTGATTGAAATATTCAAGCTCTTAGATCTTGTTTTATCTCTTTTATTCCTGAAACACAGACTCTAAAAACCTAAATTAGTTTGAAATATTGATGTCCATCAACTTTCAGTCTGTCAGAGTTGCAAATGATGGTCGGCAGTGGTATCAGTTTTATTTATTTTTTTATTTTTATTTTTATTGACCATGTCTGCAGGGGTGGACCCAGGGGTGGGGCCTGAAGGGCATAGCTGAAATAGGATTGTCCCCTGAAATGCCCCTGTCCTGAACAACAACAACTACAGACACACATTCGTGAAATGTCCGTGATGAACCTTCGCCTCTCGTTCACTTCTAATCTGTGAGAGCAAGGCGTGGCTTTGACGTTGGTGAATTTTAACCCACGTTATTAACTTTGCAACGATACAGTAAATGCGGCAATTCATTTTTATTTTCTAAGCTTTTTCTGAAAACATAAAGTGCTTGAACAAGAAACTGTTTTCAAAATGTGCAGGAATGACCTGTGGGTGCACGATCAGGAATTGTGGATGGATGTCAGGTATCTGTCTCTCCTCTTTCAGTGATATAAATAAACACTTGGAGGACTCACAGTATTTATCTCACCAGTGCGTTGAAATGATTGGGATCTGAGCGCTGATGAGGGAATGTTATATTTAGTTGCTGAACTTGCTGAGCGACGTTCTTTCACCCAGATATTAAGGTTGATTTGAGTTTCAGGAATCCACTGTCGTTCGCTCCGATGAAGGAAAAGACAAATGCTTACGTACATATTTATTGTCTTCGAGAAAACTGAAGTTACACATACACGCACACATGAAGGCAAACAAGGGCATGATGTCAATTGCACATTTATCAAACAGTGAGACTTCAGTTTAATGACACGACACAAAGTGCTGCTAACAAATTAAAAAGCTACTTTTTTTGTGATTTATGACGACTACGACTTCAAAAGACAACGACACCATTTTGCCACCTCGGACGCATTTGTTAACA